AACCCCACTTTTAAAAAAGTAAAAATGTTTGTTTTTTTTTTTTTATAGAAAATATTAAAACTGCGAGTTTGTAGATCTAATTAGTTCAAATCAGCGAGAGAGAGAAAAGGAAATCCCCACTCCCCATGAATTAGAATGAGATCTCATGAAGAAATTTACCACAGAAATGACCCCCAAAAGACAAAAAAATAATGGCCGACATCAAAATATTCTAGCTAGAGGCTGATGTAATGGCAGAGAAGGATGGAGAGAGAGAGAGAAAAATAAAAAAAATAACAGGACATTACACTGTTTGCAAAATCCAATGCTTAATGCCAAAGTATTGCCAAAAAATAAAGAAGTCACATTAGTAGACATGACTGTTTGAATTACAAGAAAGATTACAAAGCTTAAGTAGACTAATCTCAGCACTCTTGCTAGAGATTCATGTATAGCACTTTTATTTTCAGTAAATCAGAGACAATTTCTACTTTTTGTGATCTGTTTTTTTATGTTTTATTTTTTTTTTATCTCTGATTATATAACAAAAACAAATTTAAATTGAAATCTATTTCCATTCATTTATGCCAATGCATCTATAGGGATGCTTGTAACAACCCATTAAATCAGGTGGCTTCAATAGCAAAGATTTTCCAACCTAAAAATAATAAATCATTTTAAAAAAAAAAAATTGTTTTATCCTAATGTCCAGCAACAATTACTTTCAAATAAGATGAAGGCATAGATAGAGTCATCGATAAGGTCAATAATACTTACATTGAGAAGTTCAGTTGGGAATCCCCCAGATCCAACTCTGGTTAGGTAAGCCTTGACAACACCATAGACATTGCCAATGTTTCTGGGTGGAATGCCCAGCCCAGTGCACACACCCCCTACACTACAGTTGGAGCTTGTCACATAGGGATATGGACCTGGAAACAGAAACCAATTTTATTTTGTTTTCATTGTTTACTTTTATACCTAGATGGGCTAGGTCACTCCAAGATTTCCCCTTATTTCTTTCGTCTTTAGGCAATAAAATTATTACAGATGAAGGAGATGTTCATATCCATCCACAACCGTAGGAGTAATGCAGTGTGAAGAAATTTAAAGGGGAGCATTAGCCTCTTTGGAGCATCGAGCAGAGAAATTTTGTCAACTTAAATCAAAATGATGAATAGAGTTTCTGTTGTATCAAACAGTTATACTGAAGAAAATGGCAACTTACCTCGCCAAACCAAGCAACAGCGTGTTTATTCTACGACGGAAAATGTGGCAAAAAAGAAAATTACTTACCAAACAAAAGGGCATGTATTCCACATGACATGCTGAAGATGGAATATTTGAATTAAAAAACAAGTCCGTTGCAGGAGTCACTATAAAAGTATTTTGATATGCAAATTTGTTGGAGAATGAGTTATTTTTCTGACTGGTCGCATACATTGTGATTTGTGAGATAGTACCTGTGAATCGAGTTTTTGGCATTTCTTTCTGCCCACCGATGTTCGAGTCTGAACTTAGTGATTTATTCTGTGACGTGGAAATAATCTGCGACAAACATTTCCTTTGCAATCCCAGATCGCTTACAACAGTATCTTCCAATTCTGAATAATGTCTGATACAACAGAAACTCTATTCATCTTGATTTAAGTTGGCTAATTTTTTTTAATTTATTTATTTATTTTTTTTTTATTTATTTTTAAATCTTCCCATTCTAGATTAGATATTCTACCAGAAAGAGAATAAAAATTACAATTTTACTAATTGTTCAAGAATCATTTCACCAATCATCATAAATATCTAACCCTTCAATATCAGCCACAAAGTGCGTGTATGTAGGGGAGGGGAAAAAAAAAAAAAAAAAAACTGACCAAAATCAATGTCCAACATGGTGGATTGTGCGCCTTCAATCAGGATCTTGCGTCCAGATTCAATTGCTTTGTTCATGTAGAGCACTGTATCCACAACAAAAGGCATCACTTTTTCTCGTAATTTCTAAAAATAAAAAAATAGAAAATATTTAACATTTCATAGATTTAAGATAATGCACAAATGGTATTTCAATAAGTTAGCAACAAAATTAGATTAGTTAGATGGGAGCAGGAAAGAAAAAAAAAGTTAAGAATTTCAATGAATTGGCAGCTTCCCCACTCGCCATGGTCAAGCAACTAGAATAGGCTTCTTCAAGACTGACCATGGACTATTACCGAGATAAACTAAAGATCTTCATCTGGATTTCTAGAGTGAGGTTTTAACTTGTTTATATTACTTACATTCAGATTAATGCCATCTTTTTTTTTTTTTTTGCTATTAATATTATTGTTATTAGTATTGTTAATAATAATAATTGACTGTTGTGCCCTCAAGCCATCTTTAGATGTCTGTTGATCAAGGTAACCCTCAAGAAACTTTGAACTGAAACTTTTCATTTAATCCTCAGTCATAGATTGTTCTATTAGTCAATATTTGTCTATATTTCTGAGATGAGGTATTATGTGCACTATTTACATTGTTCGAACTATCATCCTCATCTTTGTTGCCATATTTATCCCAAGGACACATGGCACAGTGGATAAAGGCATTAGTTAGATCCAGTGACAGGACCCAAAGAACCAGAGTTCAATACCTGGTTAAGGCAGGGGAGAGCTTGGATAGGGGAATTAATAGGAAATAACTGATAATTGACATCCATTAGGCATGGCATGTGGAACTAGAACAGTCTACCCCAGCAAGCGAAATAAAGAGTTCAGTTCGACATTCCAACCACCTGAAGAAGGCCGGAGCCTACAATGGCCAAAACATTGTGATAAATATGGCAACAAAGATGAGGATGATAGTCCGAACAATGTATATAGTGTAGTCAATATCTATTATAGTTTTATTTTATTTATTTCCTATATTCTTAAAATTAAGTATAAACAGGTTTTACATGAAGTATATTTTAAAAATGTTCTTCATATTCAAAATAATTATCAAAAATCTTTTATGGGTTTATCAAAAGACTTGAACATTTTGAAAAAAATTTTATATTAAGTTCAAGCAAACCTAGCATTTTGTTGTCTTACACAAATCTGCAACTTGAAGTATTCTATTCTCAGACCAATTTATAATAAAACTAAGATAATGTTAACATTTTAGTGACTGTATACTTATCCAAATATATTACATTCTGTTCTTTTATTTTGGAGCAGAAAAAGATCTATGAAGATCAAGCATTTGAAATTTATTCGATTTGACATTCACTTAAGATTGCACTTTTGTTTTATCTGAAAATTAATAAATCCAAGTTTCTTCAAATAAATGAAATCAAATTTTTAATCAAAAAAAAAAAAAAAAAAAAAAAAGTTCAAATCTCAACAAACCTTGTATTTAATCAGCTCCACTTCAACATCAATCTCCAATTCTGGACAAGACGTTTTGTGGTACTCCATGAGATTTCTGAATCTAAGGAACAAAATAAAATTCTAAATGTTTGTAAACTTAAAAAATGTTAAAAGATATTTACAGAGAAAATGGCATGAACAACTTTATGTTCAAGAGAAGGAGTAAGCCAAATGGCAATACAAGTTGACCACTTATTTGAAAGAGAGAGAAAGATAAATGTTTTTATCCATAGCTCATTAGATGCATGCAATATTTTATTGTCATAAGAAACAAATACAGAAAATGGTGACCTTAATATGAACAGTAATTTTTTTTCTTTTTTTCATTTATTCAAATGATTTTCAATGTTTGCTTCTGCTTTGCTATAATGAAAAATAACATTTTTAATGCTGTCAAAATTCTAAGTCAAATTCACCATACATGTATGGTTCGGTTAGAAACTTATTGATATATCTATGCCTATCAAAGAAATGAGAAAAGGAGAAAAAGAATCAACAAGATTTACAAGCTTTTATCCAAATTGTCATCTTTACACCAGTTTGTTTCTCTAATGATTTTAGGAAACAGTTACCCAACTTAACCTAGTTTAGCAAAAGGTCACAATTATTGAACATTCAATGTACTTAGAAGTCTAACCAGTCCAGTTGATCATCATACAGCAAAGTCCTTCAGGAGATATTTACTAAGCCTAGTCCTAATTTGGCACAGGAACTCAATGGAAAACTCAGTAGAAAAATTGCATGGAATCATCTCAATCCAAGAAAAATTCTTTATTAAAAATTGTCTAAATGGAAAAGCTCAAACTGGAGAAAATCTGATATACAACCACTGGACAAACAAGTTAAGACCAATTCATTAAGAGAGATGGTTACAACTCTGAGATTGTGGCAAAAGGTTCAACACAAATATTACTAAAATAATACAATCAAAATTCATTACACACAATGACATTAACTACACCAGCAAAAATTAAGAAAAAAAAAAGAAAAAAAAAGAAAATCAGGAATTATTGAATTAAATGCCTAAATTATTATAAAGGAGTAAAAAGCAACATGGAAATAAAGTGCAATTTTTACAAAGTTCAGAGGAAAGGGAACAATGATGATGGCAAACATTAAATGAGAGAGGACCAGCTATATATTATTAAATAGAAAGAATTAATCACCCCAAACTGTTGAAAGATGAAGTAACAGTAAAATGGGCTCAAGCTAAAAATAAATTAAGAGATAATGAAGAGTTTATTAACCCAGGGAGTTATGATTAAGAAGTACAGCTAGTAATAAATGAACTAAAAATAAAGCTGTCTTAAGAGATAATACACTAAATAATAAAAACAAAACTTGTAAATGGTCATTTCCAGAAAATAAAGCTTGTAAATTATGTTTTATCTCAAAGAAAAAAAATGAGTTTCAGAATAGAAAGAATTTTTTTCCAAGAGTCAAACCAAAGACAAAGTGAATACTCATCTCACAGACATTTTTTCATTTTGTTTTTATTTTAAGTGAATGGGTTGCCATGCAATCTGCCACTTGAAGCTGGTTGGGGCATTTACCCATGTTCACACAGCACAAATGTGAGTGCTGTTTTTGGCTTTTGAGAGCAGATATCATACATGTAAATTCAAAGATGAGAGAAAACTCTTCCTGCCTTAGAAACTGTTACAAAAAAGAATTCATTGAAACAGAAAAAAAAAAAAAAAAAAAAATACAGGAAAGTAAGGGAAAGAAAAAAGTAAATGAATGATTCATTTTCTTAAATTGAGGATTGAATTTTAAAAAAAAAATAAAAAAAAAAAAAAAAAAAGAAAAAGAAAGACATGCATAATATATTTTTTTTCGCAGACTGAACTCTATACACATGTCAAAGTAAACAATAAAAAGTAGAAGAAAGTTCAGAAAAGAAATAACCAACTCCTTTTAGTCAGCAATTCGTAATTTTTAGTCATTTGAACTTTTACAATTTTTTTTTAAAGACATACATTAAAAAGTTAAATAATATATATACATTTATATATATATATATATATATATATATAAACATTTTCCTTGCTTTATGAACCCCTTCTTGTCTGAATTCCCACAATGACACAAAAAAAAAAAAAAAAAAAACATACGAAAAAGACAATACAAAATTCTTGTCATACTTACTTTTCTGCAAAATATTCAAAATCACCAACAAGATCACAGATTCGTAGACCATTCCTTGTTGCCTGGCAATTAATTAAAACATTATTTAGTTTAAATACATATATGCAGGGACAGACACACTTACAGGCCTGTTTGCTTTAGTAAAGCAGTTGCCAGAGTTTGCTGCAGCATTGATTCTTGATAGAGTTCCCAAATCTGAACAACAGTCAACATTCCAGGTGTTAAATATCATAATTAAAATGGACAAGTATCTGTGGATGCATGAGATTATCAACTATGTGGGTTGTGAATAAGAGCCCTTTTATGCAGGCACTAACGAAAGTAATTTTTATTCTATAAATCAATTGGTATATCCATTCAAAATATATATATATATATATATATATATATATATATATATATATATATATATATATCTATCTATCTCAGGTCATCCCATAAGTTCTGTCCAAATTTTAACTTTGTTAAAATGAACAAAATTTAAAGTATTTTATAATGTCTAATGGAGTTGAATATTATTTTCATGTTTAGATGCATTTAAACTGATCAAATTTTATTTCAGAGAACAATAAAATTAAATTTTGTTTGATTAAAAACGTGCTAACATAGAAGTACCCAAGAATTATTTGCGGCACATAATGCTTTATGTGTTCAAGAAAGGAAACTCAGCAGCCGAAGCTGCTAGAAACATTCACTCAGTTTATGGAGAGGAATGTGTGAATGAAAGAACTTGCAGAAGATGGTTTGCAAAATTCAGAGGTGGTGATTTCACCCTTGAAGATGAAGATCGAACCGGACGTCCAGTTGAGTTTGATGAAAAGTTTCTTGAAGCAGCCCTTGAAGAAAATCCTGCTTTATCAGTTGAGGAATTGGCAGTGGTTCTCAGTTCAAACCATACAACTGTTCATCGTCATCTTCAACAACTTGGAAAAGTTCCTAAACTTGGAAAATGGGTGCCTCATGAATTGTCTGAAAACAACCTCAAATCCAGAGTTGACATCTGCTCTTTTCTCCATTCTCACCAACTTGTTTCACCTTTTTTTGGATAGACTTGTGACTGGAGACGAAAAATGGATCTTTTATCGACATGTTAAGCGTCATAGACAGTGGCTTGGTAAAGGGGAAGGACCCCAGCCACAGCCGAGAAGGGAACTTCATGAGCAAAAGGTTCTTCTTTCAATCTGGTGGGATAGTCAAGGAATAATCCACTTTGAATTCTTACCACCTAATGGAACAATTAATGCTCAAATATACCGTCAGCAATTAGAGCGTTTGAACCAAGCTTTGATGTAAAAAAGACCTGCTTTAGTGAATCAAAAAGAGGTGATGTTTCATCAGGACAATGCGCGACCCCACACAGCAAGAATGACGTGACAAAAGATCGAAGAACTTGGGAGAAAATTCCTCATCCACCTTATTCTCCTGATCTTGCTCCTTCAGACTACCATTTGTTTCGTAGCTTACAGAATCATTTGGAAGAAACAGCTTTTGTAACACAGGAAGAGGTTAAAACTGACATTTGTGAGTTCTTCGAATCAAAGCCAAAAGAATTTTACAGTAATGGAATTAGTAAGCTTGTTATTAGATGGAAGGAAGTCATAGATAATCAGGGAAAATACATTGTTGATTGAATCGGTAATTAAATGTAACATTTGGTCACTTGTTTTCTTTATTCAAAATTCGGACAGAACTTATGGGATGACTTTTTTCGCTACACAGCTCTAACCATGGTTAGAACTGTGTAAAAAAAAAAAAAAAATTTTAAATCAATTTATTGGAATATATATATATATATATATATATATATATATATATATATATATATATATATAATAATAAAAAGGCTTAAATACTTTACTCCATGGTCATAATTTATTACATTGGGATTAAATTTCAGAACAATTCATCAGACCTACAAATTCAAAAGAATTTGTAGGTCTGATGAACAGATCAGATTTAAGAAGTACTAGTATAGTTTTGATTTTTTTATTATAGCCTTACTCTGTCCTGGACATTGAGTTCTACCTATTGGGCACAAGATATATATATCTCTAAGTCTCAATTCACACTGCAAAACAATTTCTTTAGCCTTTCAGTCCAGTTCACAATTAAAATAGACAGACTTCTTTCTTTTTAAATTCCCTTTAATCTACTGTTAGAAGATGCTTAATCATTAATTTTACATCAAATACCAATATTTACAGAACATTAGTTGTCTTGTGAATATAGTAAAGCTTAAACAATCTTCTGTACAGGCATTTTATAAAAAAATATTTGTTTCTAAATACTGTGTCATTCAATTTTTATCTATTTTTTTTATTGCGAATCTAACATCAGCAAAGTTTACAAGTAAGAGTTCTGAAAAAAGAATGTTTCTACTTGACTAATTTGGAGAATCACCAAGAAATAATATAGACATCTTACAGATTATGAAACTTTTCAAAGACGTTTAAGACAATGAAAAATATTTAACAGAAAATAATCCAAAAGAAAAAGCTCTTCAATGAGAAAGATTAAAATGCAAACTTTGAACAAATGAACCGGATTAGTTTCTGCAAATAAACACTTAAGTCTCCTCCTGCAAATCCTATTCTGTGATAATTAACTAAAATTATACAAGAAAAACTTTCAAAATCATATTAAGTGGTTATTTAGTTGATATTCACATGTTTAATATCTTTGTAATTTTAGAAATTATTTTTAAATTAGCGGTTCATAGAAATTTAATATTTTTGCTGAACTAGCTAGAGAAAGGACAAAACAGAAGACCTATTTATCAAGGGAAGTAACTTTGCACGAACTTCTTTCAATAACATATTCTACAAACAAAAATTCAGTTTACCCATCACTGGTGTTCTCGCTTTCTTCTTTCTTGAATTCTTAGAATCCACCACATTTAAAATATATACCTAACAGCTCTACTTACCTAAGATACATTGATGATGTCCTTATTTTATCCGCAAGATACTAACTAACCTTTTAAAAGTTATAAACTCAAAAGTTGAAACCACCATCAAATTCACACACAAATTTGAAACAAATAACTAACTTTCCTTGATAACTTATGAATAAGTCACGATAAATTAGAATTTAAATTTTACTGTAAATCCACTAACGAAAATGACCATATCAATTTTTATTCCTACAACCGGAAAATAAAATCTGGAAGAATTATAGAATTTTATTTATTAGAGCTCTTGGATATGTAGCCCTGAAATACATCAGTGAAGAAAAGGATTATACTGAGAACACATTCAAACTTCTACTCTACCCATACCATTTCATCTTAAATACATGTGTGCTCACAAAATCCATGAAACCAAACAAATATTTACAACAAAAATTATACAAAATTCATAATCCTAGCTTCCAACTAAGCTCACAAATGAATTAGTCATCCCTAATACAACCACCTCCAGAAAAATAATCAGGATGAAAAATAAAATAAACAAAAAAAATAATAATTCAATTGCCGGAGTTTATCAAATGTCTCCTGTTCAATTTATTTATATATATATATATATATATATATATATATATGAAAAAATATAGTTTTAAGGTGTGCTATATTGATGAGATAAAGTACTCAATATCAGAGCACACATACTAACATGCATGCATGCATGCACACACACACAAGAACTTAGCTGACATTTTCATCCTCCAATGGACTTCAAGGAAAACTTAAGGATTTTAATTTTGCAACAAGTACTTACAAACAAAATTAAAAATATTAATTTCTCAATATTTTTTTCATTTAAGTAATGCTCAAATATTCATCAGGTTAACTGAAAAGTACAGGTAAATTATGGAGGATGCTAAATGATATAATTTAATGTCAAATAAATGAAAGTGGGTAATTGATGTAGAATTTTTTTGTTTTTATGTAATTCATATTTAAATTACTATCTTGGCTTGGGAAAGTAGTCATTTTTTTCAGGAATGGACATATTAAAAAAAAAATGTGCAGTTTTATGTTTTGATAAGATTCAATAGCAGCACTCTCTCAAAAATGTTTTGTCTAAGTTACTTTCTCTTTTTAATAAGTATGACATTCTTTAGATCAATGTCAGGATTAAATTTATTTCTCTGTATGACTAATGCATCAGAAAAACTATTTTTGGCTTTTATCTATAAATACTTGTAAAATAAAATCCTTACATTTGCTTTGATAAAGCCCATCAGAGGAAAAAAGTGCTTGATGTATAATAACAATGTGATAATTTGTATAAATATACATTTTTTTTTCTCTCTCTCTCTCTCCCTCTCTCCCAGCAGTAGCACAATTCTGAGTTTCATGCACAATGCAATCATGCTGATTAAAAACTCAGCACTTGACAACTGCATTGTACATGAAATTCAGAATTGTGCTACCAGGAAGGAAAAGGTGTGTGTGTGTGTGTATATATATATATATATATATATATATATATATATATATATATAGAGAGAGAGAGAGAGGTGTGTGGTGATCTGATATTGTTCCAAGAAATAAAAGTACTATAATTTTTAATTTTTCTACAATAATGTTCACACGAAACATGGCTCAAGAGCCATTAGAGCTAAAAAGTCACAGAAACAGTTTGATATGCGGGGAAGATAGCAGTCGACTCTAGATTTGAGCAAGTTAAGATTATAGTGATCAGGGAAGCATCCTCTTGAGGGTTAGCTCCACAAAGTAGTGGTTCATGAAAAGCTGTTTGGAGTGGAACTTCTATCTTACCAATGAAATATGAAAAGGGGGGGTGTTACAATGTGCATGGCAGCTCTTAGTTATGGTTATAGAACTGGTGGAACTAAGGAATGTAGGTTTTCTGAACGCTTTCCGTGTAAATAGTAATAGAATAGCGTGCGACTTGCAACATTTTATTTTATCTGTGGGGAAAGGTTTTGTAAGGCAGAAAACATTTCATTACCCACTAGGCCGCGTAGGCACTTTTGGGCTCTATTGAGAATCCAAAACTAACAATGCAACAGAGACAAGCATGTCTTGTTATAAAATCTATTTCGATATTTAATTAAAGTTTTTTTTTTCTTATAAATTGACATATCCTAACTTGTACAATAAAATAAATTTGAACATCTCCCTTCAAATTGAAAATATTGAAAAATTCTTGGCAAAAGGGGCTTCAACACCAGATTTTGCATACCTTAGATGCATAAGTTGGACCTATTCCTTTCTTTGTGGTACCAATTCTGAAAGAAGAAAAAAAAAAAAAGAAAAAAACACATTCTAGAATTTTCACTAACAGCAACTTATTTGTCTAACAAAAATTCTTTTACTTCCAAAACAAATTAAAATACAAATCTAAAATAGAAGTAAGGAATTATTTCAATATTAAATGTATTTAAATTTTTGTTAATTTTAATGTTTTGTAATTGTTTTTTGTATATAAAATTCATTTAAGTCATATCAAAATTATATTTATAAGTATAGTCAATGCTTAATTTAACAGACTTTGATAAAATGAATTTCATATTTAACAGATCTCATCAAAGGGCAGATATTATGTAAAATTTGGGTTAGATAAATGACAAAATAGTAATATTTAGACTATATATGAATTATAAAATTGAACTGTATGATTGTTTTAACCCTAGAACACTAACCATCAACTAAAGTTACACCACTACTAACCATGGGTATATTATACCCGATTTTGAAAATATCAAAAAAATATTAAATATAAATCTTTATTTGAAAGATTTTACATTCAGACACTTCAAACTTTGTACTTTGAGTTAACATTAATAGGAACTGAAAAACATTATTTCAGTAAGAAAATTAGGTACTGAAAATTGTAATTAAAAATTGGAAAATTTGCGCTGGGTACTATATACCCATGGTTAGTGTTCTAGGGTTAAATAGCCTTGGAAATATTAGCTGAAAATCTATAATTTTAAAAAACAGTACAGTATTAATTGTATTGTAATGAATTTCAAAAACAAAATTTGCTTAAATCCTCTAAAAAAAAAAAAAAAAAAAAAGCAAAGGTAAATAAAGGTAATATTAAATTTTGTATTTAACATTTTGCCATCAGTTTTTTTGTTTTTTTTTCCTCCTTAAAATTTATCCACTATTCCTTTCAACTTTAGAAATTTGGGCAATATCCAGACTATAAATAAACTTCTTTAACATCACATTTATTCATATAAAAGGGAAAAACTACATCTTTTCAAGACAGTCACGTTTTTAAAATTGACTTAAAAGAGCAACAATAAAGACATCAAGGAATCAAGTGTGAAAGTGATTAAGGTAGTCAATTTCTTACTGTTCAATGCCTGCTAACTAGAAATTAAGAAACCAACAGGCTACATTAGCCTAGATACACTATAGTTTAAAATTTGATTTTTGTTTTTAATTTTATTCATGGCAAAAGATAGAAATTTACACTTTCACTTTTATTATAGACTAAATTGATAATACTAATGAATACTAAATTTACTTAACAGAAAATATCAATGCCAAATTTACTATAAAACTATTAGCATTTCTTCCTTTTTACTTCAAATTTTGCATCCTGGCAACAATTCTCAAAATATGAAAATATCTTGAAAAGAAAAACATTACCAAAGAACAAAAAGGTGATAAAAACTTACGAATTTCTGCCTCTCTTCATTTCTTGGACGCCATCCAATTTAAGATGAAGGTCAAACACTAAAAAGTGGGGAAAAATGCATAAGAAAAAAAATAAGAAAAAAAAAAAAAAAATGTCTGACAAAAATAGAAAGATCAACAGAATAATTTTATATTGAAGTAATTTAAAAAAATTAATTCACTTGGTGTTGGAAAAATGACAATTGTCTTCATTCTACTTTTGCATTAAAAAGGAAAAAAAATATTAAAATCAGCAATGTACATACTTTAAAAAAAAATAAAAATAAAATAGAAATATTTCATAAAACAAAATTATAATTTTGAAGGAGAATCCTTGAGCTCAATAATATTCCATAAAGTTTTTAAGTTCAAAAGATTAATTATCATGGCATCCATTTTTGACCATTGACAATCCCTTATTTTCAATACTGACAAAACTTACTCAAATTTTAGTTATAAAATTGTATAATTCAATGGATAAGTTTACTTTTATTTGCCAATGGTGTTATGGTGATTTTTTTATTAATTTATAGACCTATGAACAACCATCACCCTTCACCAAAACCAATACTCTGTCTGGCTATTACAAATTCTTCTGTGAGTGGATGAAGGAATAAAAAAAATTATCCTCCAGAACTGCCTCTTAAGTTAATATTTTACTTAGATGTTTTTAGCAAAACATTAAAAATAAATTATGAAATTATTATATTCACTATATGTTCACATTTAATTTGGAAATATGGGTATCTTTATACATGCTTTTAATATTGGTTGTGCCATTTTACATGTAATTAAATTTTCTTGCATTAATTTAATAACTTCTACCTACGATATGAAATAGTTGTTGAGTGCAACCAAGAAGCAAGCAAGCTTACAAACGAAAAGGAGTGAAATGGATTTCTGGAATTTGAGACTTTTTTTCAGAGAATATTTAAGCAAAGTTAATTAGCTTAGATATTGAGATTTTGTAAAATTAACATAAGTAGATAGGCAAGAAAATATGCAAATACAATAAACAGAGAGAGAACACTCATTTAAATCTGGTAAGGGGGAGTAGTGTTCTTTCTTTCAATATAAAAAATAAAAAAACATTTTAACCTTTGTGATTACTCAACATGTCTATTCTTAGTTATACAATGTATGAGAAAATATTGAAATTAAGGTCATATTTTTGTAAGCAAACAAAACATGACTATAGCATCTGTTAGGATGAGTTATTCTTTTGAAAGACATGCATGAACAGATGGGAATCAACCTTAAATCCTGTATATGATGAACATACATATACAAACTAAGAGAATGGTTACTGTTTGTATTTACTTTGCCTACTAATATTGAAAATATGAAATAAACTTTATATATTGAATAAACTGCACCTGAGATCTCAAACCTGACCTTGGTTCACTGTGGGCAGGGTTGTCCTCTCAGTTACCAAATATATCAGTGAGTACATACAGAGTTGAATATACAAATGACTCATTCACTTTTCACAAGTCAGTTAAAATTTCAATTTGAGAATTCCTCCAAAGGAACTATTGCTATACAGATAGCTCATCCATATAATGGACCCCCCCCAAAAAAAATGATGGCACCCTAATTAGCATTTCCATGACGACAAAGAAAGAGGGGGAATAATATACATGCCTACTTCACCAAATTGTCAGTTTCCTACTAGCACCTGTAGGTGATGGCAGAGCCTGCATAAAAGAACTGTACTAAAATGTTTTATATAGGAGTAGATAAGTTCACCTATTGTCCAGCTCACCCCCTCCCAATCTTTTGAACAGGAGTAGAGGTTTATCCCATGTTTCCTGTTTAGGATTGGATTACTGGTCCTTTCTAACGCCTTCTCATTTTCTTTCACACCTAGCAACCCCTTGTATTTTAGTGGCATTATCGCCTTGCCTAGAGTTAATTGATTAAAAAAAAAAAAAAAAAAAAAAAAAAAAAAAAAGTGTGTGTGAATTTGGTCAGTGGCTAACTTTTTAAAAAAAAAAAAAAAAAAAAAAAAAAAAAGGCTTACTGGCAAATACTTCAAAATAATTTCAGTCAGGAGTTGTAGGGTTTTTATGGCATAGTTTACATGTCAAGTCAGCAAATGGTAGTAAACGACTGCTCTGAAGCAGATTTCTATAACAACTGACTGTCAGCCAACACACCTAATTTTGGTGCCAACCAACAAATACGAATGAATATCTGGATGAAAGACCTCCACTTGTAAGGTCATCTGGCCACATCAAAGAGTTCTTTGAAGTCTTATTCAAATTACCCAGAACTTGGAGAAGTTTCATTCATAAAAACAGATACACACAAATTTTCACACACAGTGTAACAGCATAGATCGAGCACTTTCAAAGAAAAGGAATGTGTTGGTTACTGCTGATTAATACTAAAAGCTCTTCACTACGATTTGAGCCTTCTGGGGTCTCTGACTAATGTCAATTTGGTTTAGTTTCAATCCTGGCCTCAAGCAATCATGTCTAGCCACACTGATGAGCTGTGTGTGATACAGTGAAACTGTCTGTGGATCACACACACACACACACACACACACAGTGTAACAGCAGAATTGCCCAAATCATGTTACAACATAACTGTCCATACCGCAAAATGTTTAACCATTACTACACTAGTTTCTTTCTAGAATTGTTCCCCCTGCTACTGCATATTTTTTTAGGATTCTAAAACATGAACACTTACTGTTTTAAAATTGTTATAACTTGATTTGTATTGTGCGTTTAGATTTTAATTTTTGTACACTAATAAAAGAATGGATAATATTTTGATGTAAGACATTACATTTGGCATGCATGTTTTGATATTGAAAAAAAAAAAAAAAAAAAAAAAAAAAAAAAACGAAATAAATGCAAAATAAAAAAAAACAAGTACATTAAAAAATACATAAATTTTAACTTTTATTACTCCTTGTAGATTTGTCAAGTGACATTTTTTCTCGTGTTTACATATGACAAGACACTAGCATTTGTTTGTTCTTTCACCTGATTCATATTTCACCTGATTCATATTTGTCTCATTGACAAATAAAGTTATTGTTTCGATGTTTATAAACAGACAAAATAATTCACCTTCAGAATGGTTACCAGATATATCGATGGTCACCAATAGCTTCCACAAAATTAGTCAGGTATTGATGATAGTAGCCACTAGTGGTCATCATCGCTTTCCTTCATGTCACTAGTGCAGTTATCATTTCTGACTACTTTGTTGTCAAGACCCACTTGAGTAAAGCCTTCAAAATCATCATTGGAGTTTTAATCAAAAAGCTCCTGAATAAAGGCTTTGTTGGATATTGACACAGCAATTTTTATTTTTTATTTACAAAAAAAAAAATGAAAAAAAATAAAAAAATAATGTGGGTTTATTCGGTGTTACAACTCATGTAGAATCCAGAAGAATTCAAAATGGCATTGGAAAACGGAAGTTTATCCTTGTTCCAAAGCAGTAGTAAGTGATGTCCAGCTTAAAATAACGTAAATAACAGTTGACAACTGTTTATTTATAGCAATCGTCTCGGGTGACAGAATGCGCCTAGAGTAGCAAGGAAGAGAATTCTACAGCAACAATTTTCACCTGTAGTGTGGTAAAAGTTTAATAAACACCACCACTATACTAATTGACTTTCTTTTTTCCAGATAAGACTTTTAGCCATCTTCACATTTTTCATAAGAATCATTAAAAAATCCTTTGAGTTATTCAGCTAAAAAGAGAGCAGGTTAAAATTGTTTTGTGCCAAACCCACTATATCTTCCCAACTGAGCAATGGTGAGAGGAAAAGCAAGCATTCAGGCCATTATTAATGGTACCAACATTCATCCTCTGCCTTTCATCTTCAAAGTGCATTCAAGAACCATCAAGAGAATGGTGAATAAATAAAAAAAAAAAAAAAAAAAAAAAATTGTTTTTGAGTTTATGTATTTCTTCTGTATTCTTGACTAATGTAAGGATATCAATTTATCTTAGGTAGTTGGAGCGTTTTTTAAAATTGCTAAATCTATTATTTTTGAGATTAGACATATAGAAATTGCTAAAAGTCAGACCCAGAACTGAAACCATGGAGACACCATCCTGTTATGTGCGTGTGTGTAATATATATATATATATATATTCGTGGTCATAGACTAGGACTTTGATAGTGCAATGCAAGTTAAAATTAGGCCTTATGGAAACTACTGCTAAGTGGAGGTACAAATAGATTATTGTGTGCATGTGTATATATATATATATATATATATATTTTAAAACAAACTTAAAACATTTTAACAAAATAGTTTAAGGAAAGTAAATTAGTAAGATTTGGGATTTATTATTCATACCATCTATTTTATAAATCAGATTTACATGGTCTTTATCTCTGTTGACATTTTGGCTTTATTTCTAGTACAACACACACATTCGGACAATTTCTACATAATTTATGTCTAGAAAAGAAAAAATATAGGAATACAGGAAAAATTAAGAAACCAACTTTACTGCAGTTCCTTGTCAATCATTTTAATGAAATGTGTGTGTGTGTGTGTAAAAATTTTAAATTTCAACATTTCCTATCAGTACATAATTTTAACTGACACTTGAATTTTTATATCACCCCCTCCCTAAACACATAATTTCAACAAAAAACATTAGTCTAATGAAGTCCTTATCGAGAACAAAATGTGTCATACAGTATGTTTTTTTTCTACTGTTATTTATTTGCCTAGTGCAAGTGACAAAGGTACATGTAACCAGGACAACAAAAATCAGCCATCCTTTACCTTTTTTCTCAGTTTCCCTAAAACAAACAAAACATAGAATGTTCTTTTTATCAACAGAGAAATTAGAACTTCATTGTCCCTGGCAAATATGCAAACATGTATGCAATATAATCAGCTGAAACTACACTCAGATACAGTTAATGATGGCATACATTCTTCCTATATATATATATATATATATATATAAAAAACTCATTTGAATTGTTTACTTTGCACAATAAAATCACAACAAATATTTATATACTCCCCTCACTAGTATAGTGGGACATTATTACATCTTATTTTTCTGATTAGTACTTTAGTGTTCTACAGAAAGCTTAGAGAATTTGTTTCAAATCTCTTTAAATAAGCTTAATATTCTATACTTAAACCAAATATGAAAATTTCACCATCTGATGGATATTAACATCATTGATTTTACTTTTTAAGATCCAATTTGTATAAAACTGTCATATCTGTTCTAGATTTAATGATGCCAATTTAATGAGTAAACTGCCACTGTTCAAAGACATGAAAGATTTGCTTACTGTATGATTATCTGCAAATGGCAGTATTTAGACAACAGTTACTAAAAACTCACATTAGTGAAGTGAAATTAAAAATTCTTGGCATAAATTCATAGGGGAGAAAAAAATATTTTACCATAAGAAATTTAACCTCTTGTAAATGTGATTTACCAAAACTTCAAAGAGAACCTAGTTTTACAACTATTTTTAAAAATACACATAAAATACTTTAGATCTCTTGAGCAAGCAATGTCTAATCTGGTCCGTACCTAAATGGGTGACCGCTTGATGTCAATATAACACTGCCTAAGAATGAGCATTCTGAGTTCGTTTGTTTAGCGACATATCAACTCCTCATGGGTCATTTAATGCTGAAATTTAATTTTCTTGGGAGCATTAGTAATATTCTTTACAAAAATGTATTACTAGTATTTTTTTTTTTTTTTTTTTTATATAAAAATGTATTGCTGGTAATTTTTTCTGTCTATATCTCCGAGATGAGGTATTATGATTAGTTAGATTATTCAGACTTATCCTCATCTTCACAACATTTCAGCCATTGTATGCTCCGGCCTTCCTCAGGTGATTTGAATTTCAAACTGAACCCATTATTTCATCCACAGGTGTAGATCGTTCTAGTTCAACATGTCATGCCTCTTCAGATATATTAATTATTTCCCTTTAACTCAACTCTCCAAGTTTTTTGGTTCACCACTCAAGGATACATGGCCCAGTGAATGAAGGCGTTGGTTAGCTCCAGTGACTAGACACAAAGAAATGAAAGTTCAATACCAGGCTACAGCAGTGGTGAACTAAAAAAAAAAAAAACTTGGAAAGTCAAGTTAAAAGGGAAATAACTGAGATGCCTGGAAGAGGTATGGCACATGGAACTAGAACAATCTACCCTGATGGACGGAATAAAGGTTTTGTTTTTTTATATTATTTTTTTTTTAACAATAAAGAGGGATTGCTGATATTTTCACTATAAAAATGTATTTTTATACTTCCAGTGTGTGTGGGGGGGGGACTATTTGCCCATAGCTGGGACCCTAACAGGGAAACAAGTTAAAAAGAAGATTGCAATAAAACTCAAATAGAAAATCCTGACCGTGGGTAGGATGGATGACAGAAACAGAAGGAAAAGACTTTAAAATCAATAAGCACCCGAGACACAAGAAAGAAAAAAGAAAGCTATATTAAAGAACAGAAAAATATCTGAGGGAGGTAAAACAGAAGAAATTTGAAGGTTAAATCTACAAAACAAAGATCAATAGTAAGATTTAAAAGGAAATAATTGGAAGAAAAAAAAAAAAAAAAAAAAAAAACTTTCTAACATCTTATATCACAGAAAATCAAAGATTTGTCTTGAAAGCCTTTCCAAAATGATTTCACATTAATCATTAAAAGAAATGTTGCCATTTTAAAAGTTGCTTATTTTTTCATCTAAAATGTAAAGTTAATTTGAATTTTTTATCTAAAATTTAATGATACAAGATTCTAACATGCTATAAATGCTCTACTATTATATAAGCTCAAAAGACTACAGAGAAAAATAGTCAAGAAAAAATAAGAAAAAAAAAAAAAAAGTCTAAAATATAAAATAATCAGCCTGAGGCATGACTGGAATTTATTTTAACAGTATGACTCAATTCAGTATTAAAATCCACTGGGTGGGGATTGCACCTGTGGAGATTGTGGTGGTACACCCAAAGCAATTTTTTTTTTTTAAAGTTGATTTTGCAAAATAATTATGTTGGAATTGGAAAAGTTAAATTAGAGAGTTCACTTTTTAAATCAAATTGTTTAGATTTGCTCAGGAAAGCTAAACATTTCTCCAGATAGAACTGAGAAAGAGCAATAACCACATCAGGGGATGTCATCATGTAAATGCTCCTGGAGGACAGTATGAGGATCTTGTGTATTTCTGGGAAGATATGTTTGACATTGATGATCACAAAAAGACGTCAGTCATCAATTTGTTATCTAAGCCTAACAATTGAAAATTATCAACAAATTGATGAAATAAGGAATAAGATAATATTATACAAGTGAAAAGAGGACATTAATTCTACAATTATAAAAACAAAAATATAATGGTGCCTTTGATATGGCAACATCTTGAAGCTGAACAAATTAAGGAAATCTTTTAAAAAAAAAAAAAAAAAAAAAAAAAAAAAAAAAAACTATCCACCATACCTAATCAACTGTTGTCATGGTCATAGTTCACAACTCTATACAATTATCAAATCCATTATCTTTTTCATGGCTTTATTGTATGTGCTTACAGCCAGGGTTATATACAGTTTTGAATTCAGAGTTGTCCTTCTCCTAGACTGGTTGCCAATCATGGTTAGAAAGCTCAGTCTGTCCTACTTTTTAACTCCTAGCTGGAGTTAGGGAGATAATAGATTCATACCTTTTCTAAATTTAATTATATAAAAGTGAATGTAAGAAACAATCATAAGTTCTCATTCCAAGCCGTTAACAATTATGCTACATGCACATTCTTAAGTGCAACTTAATTGAAATAATTAAAATTGCTAACATTGTCTCATCAGGATCCAAAATAGTAAAACGTGTTTTTTTTAAATCTAATTTTCAAAATTTTTTTTAAATCTAATTTTCAAAATTTTTTTTAAATCTAATTTTCAAAATTTTTTTTAAATCTAATTTTCAAAATTTTTTTTAAATCTAATTTTCAAAATTTTTTTTAAATCTAATTTTCAAAATTTTTTAAAAAATTTTCAAAATTTTTAAAAATTTTTTTTTAAATCTAATTTTCAAAATTTTTTTTAAATCTAATTTTCAAAATTTTCAAAATTTTTTTAAATCTAATTTTCAAAATTTTTTTAAATCTAAAAATTTTTTTAAATCTAATTTTTCAAAATTTTTTTTAAATCTAATTTTCAAAATTTTTTTTAAATCTAATTTTCAAAATTTTTTTTAAATCTAATTTTCAAAATTTTTTTTAAATCTAATTTTCAAAATTTTTTTTAAATCTAATTTTCAAAATTTTTTCAAAATTTTTTCAAAATTTTAAATCTAATTTTCAAAATTTTTTAAATCTAAAATTTTTTTAAATCTAATTTTCAAATTTTTTTTTTTTAAATCTAATTTTCAAATTTCAAAATTTTTTTTAAATCTAATTTTCAAATTTCAAAATTTTTTTTAAATCTAATTTTCAAATTTCAAAATTTTTTTAAAAATTTTCAAATTTCAAATTTTTTTTCAAAATTTTTCAAATTTCAAAATTTTTTTAAAAATTTTCAAAAATTTTTTTAAATCTAAAAAAAAAAAAAAAAAAAAAAAAAAAAAAAAAAATTTAGATTTATGAAAACAATTTTTTCTTGTCAATTTATATTTAGTTAGTCAACCACTAAGGATTATGGAGAAATCAAGGCTCTTTTTTGCAAGGAATTTATTCATAAATATATGAAACTGACTAAACAAGTGAAATATCATTCACCTTAGTTCATAACTTTGCTGTGAACAAAAATACTCAAGATAACATTCAACTGAAAATGAAACAAAAAAAAAAAAAAAAAAAAAAAAAAGAAACTTACCAAGATGAGCTCTATTAGAGATTTTTAACCGTTTTTCCAAATTAGTCAAGCCTTTTCCTTCATTTTTCTCAATTTCATTAAACAATTCAGGTAAATTAACAACTACTCCATTACCTGAAAATAAGAGAAATCAAAATCAATCAGTTTATCAGCGAGTCCATTTTTTTTTTTAAATTTATTTTCTTATAATTTGAAAAATTAACCCTATACAAAATTAGCTAGTCACACACAGAAAAGCCGGCAAACTGTAATTCGTTCAAAATAAAAGGATTTAAGAATTTGTAGTAAGAGATACCTATTATTATTAAAATACACCTTTAAATGCCGAATCTAGATGTGTCGTCAGTGTTGTTGCTCCCATGTCACTAGAAGTTTTGGGTCTAAATAAACAGACTTCTTCGATGGGCGACCCGACCGAATATGATCAGTATTCGGCCCGCACCTAGAACAAAATTTGCCACTAGCTTTAGGACGTGGATTATATAAGTTGCCCCAGTAAACAACAACCATTCAAGACTTCACTTGGGCTATTTGAAGTTATAGATTAGGTATGCATGGTTGTATAAATAAATTAATAAAAATAACAAGTCACCATAAGTATCAATTTTCTTTTCTGATGAGATTGGGTGTGATGGTTACTGAAAGAAACTTGCTAACTCCACACCACAAAGTGAAGATAAAGATAAAAAGTAACTCATTTAGATTTGTAAACAAAAGAAATTAAATCATTTACTAAGCTTAACTTAGTTTTGGAACAAGATCAAAACTATGGGGCATCTAGTGAGAATCACTCACTCACTGGTAATGTGTTGCAAGACCAGCCTGGTACCCCCACAAAGAGAGATCCAGAAATTAATAGCTATTTAGAAAGAGTGGAAAATATTTTGTTGATCGATTCGTTTTCTATGGCTTATCAACCATTTGCAGGTTATTTAAACGACAGAAAATGTTTTGTTGTTTTTAGATTGTAAGAATCTTTTTTTTTTTTTTTTGAGAATGATTCAGTGATATAAATCTGACTAATTAACCCATAGCTGGGATGAGAAGAGGTTGATTCATACCATGACCAAGAGTATTTGCACACAAGTGAATATAACAAACCCAACTGGAATTGGAACTCAGCTCTCCAATTAACAATTCAGAGCCATTATCCATTACACCACCTGGACATCCAAACTTACACCACCTGATATTCCCAAACTGAACCCATCTAGGTAGTAACCAGGCTCAATGTTGCTTAACTTTGATGATTGTACAGGAACCAATGTTTCAATGTGATACAATCATAACCCTCACTTTTTTTCCTTTTGGGGGGGTTACTGGTGATGTAATATGAAATCATCTTTTCAGTTTTTTGTCAGGTCCACATCTGACAATTATTCTTGTCAATTATTCAAGGAGAGAAAATAAAAGCCAATAGTAAAGCCTCATTTTCAAACCTCCATTTACCTAAACATTTTTTTTTTTTTGTAATAAGAAAACATTCCTATGTATATATTTCAGAATTCATTAAAGCACAAACTGAAGTAACAATGCACCCATCCCCCAAAAAAATGGTTGCAGAAATTTCACAATCAAATTATTCTAGTTTTTGTAGATTTATCTTTTTGTCAATATTCTTCAATCAAATCATGAGAATTTATAACAAATTAGTGCCTTCAGAGTTTTTTTTAATTAAATGTTCAACTCAAGTGGAATGACATACTGAAGACAAAACAGGCAGAGGGAAACAATGAGTAATAACCTATCTAATGAGTTTACGTAAAAAGAATGGCAGAACAGGGACTCAGAGGAATACTAAGGAGATAAACATTACTTAGAGCTGGAAAGGAAGTTGTAGAGAGCCATAAACAATCTACATTCTAAAGGGACATGGCACATGAAAGAAGTGTTCAAATTATTTAAATCTTAAATGACTACCATGATTTAGGAAATCAGAGCAAAGATACATTTTGAGTTATAAAGCCATGAACCTGATCTTCAGTGGAATCACCACAAGACTCTCACAAAGCCATGAACCTGATCTTCAGTGGAATCACCACAATACTCTCACAAAGCCATGAACCTGATCTTCAGTGGAATCACCACAAGACTCTCACAAAGCCATGAACCTGATCTTCAGTGGAATCACCACAAGACTCTCACAAAGCCATGAACCTGATCTTCAGTGGAATCACCACAAGACTCTCACAAAGCCATGAACCTGATCTTCAGTGGAATCACCACAAGACTCTCACAAAGCCATGAACCTGATCTTCAGTGGAATCACCACAAGACTCTCACAAAGCCATGAACCTGATCTTCAGTGGAATCACCACAAGACTCTCACAAAGCCATGAACCTGATCTTCAGTGGAATCACCACAAGACTCTCACAAAGACTTCAACCCGATCATTAGTGGAATCATCAATCAAGGTTCCATATATTCAGGGTTAGTTGCATCAGAATGCCTTTTACACTTTTTACTCTGAATTAAGATTAAAATATTTTTCAAAAGAAGTAAAATGTCCATCTGTTTTTTTTTTTTTTTGGGGGGTGAAAATATCAACCTAAAAGGTTTTAATTAATTAGCTTGATTGAAAACTGTGAAAGTTAATCTTTTTGATGCCCTTGACACATGATTAGAATTGTGGATTAATCTGATTTATTTAAAGTATGAATAGGAATTTAGTAACAGTCTTTCAGCTGATAAAACAGGCTAATTGGGTTATTTTGGTGCATTATCCTTTCTTGACCAGAGCTCTAAAGTTGATAGATTAAACAGTAAAAACTCCTTTAATTTTACTATAGTCCAACTCGACAGACTCCTTTACAAAAGGCAAATCATATTATAATTCTGCTTGTTATTTAGTTATCACATACACTACACCCTACCAGTACCTCATAAATAATGGACTATTCCATTTTGATCACAAGGAAAGACAGAAATACATAGAGATTCTGTTTAGTTTCAGTGAGACGAACAAAAGACAGATGGTGATAATGCTCTCGTGTTGAATATCTCCTTCAGTGAAATGAAAAAAAATTTGTCAATTTTTAAATTCGTATCCTCTTCTTTAAATAATGATTAACATTCATACTTATGACTTATTGGAATATTTTGCTAAAGTAGTTAATCTCAAATATTTAATGACGGGAGTCCCACAAGCATTTTAGCCATTGATCTCACAAAGCGCTTCTTCAATCATTAGCTTAAAAATTATGATTCATCAGAAAATTCAAATTTTCATGGGTACTGCTAATTATAATATTGTAAGCTGGAGCATGTTTTTACTTATGTCAATAAAAACTGTTACCAATTTCAATTCCCTAAATATAATCACCATGTTAACATTTAGATTGGTAGCAAGGTCTCATCATTTTACAGTTGAAATTGTTATGTGTAACCTTAAATCCTATGCTAACAGCTTATTTTCTCAAACTTCTCACTTGTGGAACTTTCTTTCAGCTTCTTGTTTTCCCCAGTCAACTTTGATTTCCATTTTGATTCAATGGCCATCACTATCTTCTGCCTGAATTTCTGTTAGCATTTTTTTTGTTGTTGCTTTTTCACTCATTCTCTCACTCAGTAACCCCTTGTGCTTTAGTGGCTTTATTGCCTTGCTTGAAGTAAAATGATTAAGAAAAAAAGATTATGAAGCCTCATCCTCTCTGGTGTGAATATACTTTTTTTTTTTTTTAAATTTACATTAACCAAAATGATTTCATTTAAATAAATTTTATGAACAAAGCCCATTTTTATACATTTACCAAATAAATTAATGAAATAGAATGCAAATTTTTGAAATAGATACAACATCAGTATCAATTAAGAGTAAGACTAGCCAATAGGGTAAAGGGTGCTTTGACTATATGAGGACAAATAAAATTAAAAAAAAAAAAAAAAATCATTAAGTTAAAATGATTATATCTTACTTTATGATCAAGCTATACAACTATTTGAAATAATGTATGTAGGCAGTGCTACATTCATTTTGACAGGTAATTAAAGCAGCAGAGGGAGAGATACATTGTCCCATCTACTATTTTATTGCAATACATATATACATCTCCTTGTAATATGTTAGACTTGTCAAGAGAGTATAAAGTGCTCATTTTCCAAAATAACTGTTGCTGACTGCCTGATGATCGCATGAGAACACTTGAAACTTAGTGGTGGTTGCCTACCATTCACCTTGAATCTATTGTGAAATATGGTTCTGCCAGTTATTTATATATTATATATATAAAAATATAAAAGTAATGAAAATCTTGGTAATCCATATGGATGATCCCAAGGAGGATGAAATCTGGAGAGTTCAATGTTAAATCAATCACACATGAACAAATAGGAAACATATCTCAATCTAACATCTTTTATTAAAGCTTCTCCTGAGATTGAGATAGAGAAGAAAAAAAAGCAAAGAGACAGTTACTGATATTTTTGATTAGTTCTTATTGGTCAGATACATGTCACGTGTATAAATACAATAAATAACAAATATATGAGGAACATTTTGGACATTAAAATGTGTGATAGTGCAAGAGTGTGTATGTAAAGAAACGCTTGTGTGTCTAGGTATATGTTAGACGGTAACGTGTGTGTGTGTGTGTGTGTGAGAGTGAAAGAGAGGAATGTCTATAGATGTCACCCTCGTTTTTGTCTGTGAAATGTAGCAAATAATTTTGTATTTGGTTGGATTCTCATGTGTGTGTTGTCACCTCTGTGTGGGTCGGTGAGACGTATGAAGATATTGTAATAATCATGTTTTGATTGGATTTATCATTAAAGCATTTGTCATGTGTATATTTTGCAAAGGATTTGTAAATTATCATTAGTTTATGTATTATATAGAAATAATGAATAATTCATGAATAATAGATCTGTAGAAAGATGTGATGTAATGTTTTAAGTGAGTGTTTATAGTTGATAGTAATGCTATAAATATATTTAAGATATTTTCACCTTAAAGGGTTATGTTTTTTTTTGTTTTTTTAATTAGGCTAGCATTAAGAAAATCAATGTTCCACAGTTTCAATGTAAGACAAAAGTTAGAATGTCTGTCTAAATGCAAGTCTCTCTTGTGTTCGTAGATCCAGGTTTTTAGATCATGTAAATATTTTTGCATTGTAGA